CCCCCAAAGCCCCAGTAGATAGTTGTATGTCATAGTTGCACATCCTTCTAGTTGCTGTATGTGGGATGCGGCCTCAGCATGGCCGGAGAAGTGGTGCGTTGGTGCGCACCCAGGATCCGAGCCCGGGCCGCCAGTAGCTGAGCGCGCGTACTTAACCGCTAAGCCACGGGGCAGGCCTTGCCATACATATTTTGAGATTATGTTATTAGGTTCATATAAGTTTAGAGTTGCTTTATCCTTCTGAACAATTAATTATTATGTAGTGACCCTGTCTATTCCTAGTAATGGTTTTTGTTATAAGTAATTTTTTCCTAATATTAAATTATCTACATGAACTTTTGTTTTGTCACCTGTGTTCCTGACTCTCAGAGCTCAGAAAGCCCCTCAAAGGAGAATCCTCCTTCCACAAAATAGATTCTGATTCTATTGGTAGAAAGGAAGAGGGGATAGCTTTCAACGTATCTAGTGCAGAGGCAGGAAGAGGAACAAGATGATCTTGTTAGGGTTAAGTCTGTCTGGAGAATCCACGATTCTTCCTTGCCCAATATCTGAGTTGGCATCCATCAGCCCCTCTTCAGTTCCTTTCTCACCTGGCAGTTGAGAAGATCATACAGAAGGTCATTCTTCTGTGCTAGGTAGCTCAGCAACCGCGCAGCTTGCACCTGAATAAAGGAAAGAGTAAAGCATGAGAAGGCAGATGAATCTGGGCCTGAAAAAGGAAGAAACAAATCTCCACTCCTCCCTCTAGGTGCTGTGCCAGGGCTGGTCCGGAGGGCAGGGCCTGGGCCATGGTCCTCAGGCACCTGTGCCAGAATATAGTCTGACTGCAGGATCTCCATCAAGGCAGGCATCACCCGTCGCAGCTGTGGATGCACAAAGTCAGGCAGTGGAAGGTTGTTGAGGAGTCTGAGGCCTGCGACGTGCAGCTCTGAGTCCCAGATGGTGGAGATCAGTTCCAGTACCTTGATGGAGTGTTCCTGGGAGAAGGGGGAGAAGAAGGGTCTGCTTTTATACAGTGATCCCCAACACTATCCCAGCCTCTGCCTCCACTCTTCACTGCCTGCACCTGTGACGAGCCAAACCCAACAGACAATTCCGTCTAACTTAAACTCTCACCATTATTTGACCTAGCTGACCACTCCCACCTCCTTGAAATTCTTTCTTCACTTGGCTTCTCTTTCACAGACTTCTTTCCTGGTTCTTCTGCCCAACCTTTTCTCTATCTTCATCACTCCCTTGGTGGTACCATCCAGACTCACAGTATTCAATACTATCCATATGCTGATGCCTTTCAAGTTTCTGTCTCCAGCCCAGCCCTCTCTCTGAACTCCAGACTCATATATTCAGGTAGCAATTCCACTTCTTTCCCAGAATGCTTAATAGACCTCACCAAGTTAACATGCTCCCAGTCCCCAAAACTACTCCTTCTACCGCCTTCCTTCCAGTTACTCAGGCCAAAAATCTATGGTCCTCCTTGACTACTTTGTTTCTCTCACATCTCTTTTCCAATCCTTTAGAAAATCCTGTTGGCTCTACCTTCAAAATCTATGGGCAATCAAGCCACTTCTCACCATCCCCCGTCCACCCTGTTCCAAGCCACCATCATCTCTCACTTGGATTTCTACAATAGCCTCCCGTGTCCCTGCTCCCATCTTCACCTCACCCCCACCCCCTCATCTATTTTCAGAACAGCAGACGTGGTAGACACTCACTCCTCTGCTCAAGAGTCCATAGTTCATTCACGGTAAAAGCTGAAGTCCTTGCAGTGGCTTACAAGGTCTGACATGATCTGCCCCTCTCCCCCATTATTTCTTTGACCTCCTCTATTCTCTCCTTTGGTCTCATGGTTCCCATCACAATGGTCCCTTAGCTCTTCCTTGAACATGCCAGGTATACACCTATCTTAGGATTTTTGCACAAGCTGTTCTCTCTACTTAGAATGCTCCCCCTCCAGATATTCACAGTTTACTCTCCTACCTCCTTCAAGACTTTGCTTTAATGTCACCCTCAGCGAGGCCTTCCCTGACCACCCCCTTCTTTAAGACTGCAACTCCACTCCCATCCTAGCCTCCTTATTGCCCATCTTTATTTTTCTCCATAGCACTGTCACATGTAACACACTTTTAATTTTTAAACCTTTTATTTTCAAATAATTATAAAGTCACAGGAAGTTGCAAAAATAGTACAGAGAGGTCCCCTGTGCTCTTCACCCAGTTTCCCTCAATGGTTACATTTTCACCCAGTTTCCCTCAATGGTTACATCTTACATAACTATAATAGAATATCAAAACTAGGAAACTGGTATTGGTACAGCATGTGTCTATAGTTCTATATCATCTTATCATATATGTAGATTCATGTAACCACCGCTCTAATCAACAGATTATTCCATCAGAATTGTCCCATCATCAAAGATCTCTCTCGTGGAACCCCGTTATAGTCTCACTTATCCTTCCCCACCGAAACCAACCCTATCCCCCGGCAACCACTAATCCGTTTTGCATCTCTATAATTGAGTTATTTTAAGAATGTTATATAAATGGAATCATACTTTGTGACCTTCTGAGATTTTTTTTTTTTTTACGTAGTATAATGCCCTTGAGATCTATCCAAGCTGTGTGTATTAACAGTTCATTCTCTTTTATTACTGAGTAATGTTCCATGGTATGGATTACCAGTTTGTTTAACTACTTATCTATTGAGAGACATTTTGTTTGTTTCCAGTTCTTGATTACTACAAATGAAGCTGCTATGAACAACTGTGTACAGGTTTTTGTGCAGATGTAAGTTTTCATTTCTCTAGGATAAATGCCCAGGAGTGCAATGGCTGGTTTGTACAGTAAATGTACAGTTGGGTTTTTTTTTTGTTTTTTTTGTGAGGAAGATTAGCCCTGAGCTAACATCCATTGCCAATCCTCCTCTTTTTGCTGAGGAAGACTGGTCCTGGGCTAACATCCATGCCCATCTTCCTCTACTTTATATGGGATGCCTGCCACAGCGTGGCTTGATGAGCAGTGCATAGGTCCATGCCCAGGATCTGAACCTGCGAATCCTGGGCCACAGTGGAGCGCATGAACTTAACCGCTACGCCACTGGGCCGGCCCCCTATAGTTAGTTTTTTTAAGAAGCCACCAAACTATTTTCTAGAGTGGCTGTTGTACCATTTTACATTCCCACCAGCAACGTATGAGAGATCCAGTTTCTCTACATCTTCACCAGTATTTGGTATTGCCACCAATTTTGAGTTTAGATCATCTAATAGGTGTGTAGTAACATCTCACTGTGGTCTTAATTTGCATTTCTCTAACGGCTAGTGATGTTAAACATCTTTTCATGTGCTTATTTGCAATTCATACGTCTTCTTCAGTGAAATATCTCCATATCCTTTGCACATTTTCTAATTGATTATTCTTTTTAATATTGAGTTTTGAGAGCTCTTTATGTAATCTGGATATGAGTCCTTTGTCAGATACGTGGTTTGCAACTATTTTCTGTCTGCGGCTTGTCTTTTCATCCTCTTAACAACAGGATCTTTCACAAAGCAAATGTGTTTAATTTTGATGAAGTTCAATTTATCAATTTTTTCTTTTATAGATTGTACTTTTGGTGTCATTTCTACAAACTCTGCATCAAGCCCTAGGTCCCAGAGATTTTCTCCTTTGGAACTGCACCCCCATACCAGCCTTCTTTACCCCTTTCTTTATTTTTCTCCATAGCACTTGTCACATGAAACACACTATGTATTTTACTTATTTGTGTATTGCCTGCCTGCCCTGCTAGAATATAAGTTCCATTGGGACAGGGATCTTTCCTGTTCGGGTCACTGCTATAACTCTAGTGCCGAGCACAGTGCCTTGGCACAAATCAAATGCTCCCTGTACATTTGCTGAACGAATAAACAGATCCGGGCTTCTGAGATGCAAGATGCTTGGACCGAGAGGTATTACCAAAGGCAGGAAACCTCACAAGCTGTACTTTGTGAGTCATGTAAGAAGAAGGTAAGAATCCTGGAGCGAGGACCACATCATTCCCATCAGTACCCTGTCTTCCCTGCCCCCACCTCTTGCCATCTGCTAAGACTTGAAAGACAGGTAGGAGTTAGAAAGCTTGGGGTGCAGTTTCAGGCAGAGGGAACAACAGGCGCAAGGGCCAGAGAGTGGGAAAGCATGAAATATACGGTGTAAATGGTTGGGGTTAGGGCAAGGAGTGATCACGCACTTTATGCTGAGAGCCTTGAGGAAGACCAAGCAGGGGGCTGATGGGATCAGATCCCTCTGGAGAGGGTGGTCTGACTTAGGGATTGGGGGAAAGCTCCACTTTGGATGTGTGGGGTCAAAGAGTCACTGGGTTGTCTAATTGGAACAGCTGGCCATGGGTCTGGAGGTCAGAGGAGCCCACAGGCTGTGGACGGAGATGCAGAAGAGCACATCTAGATGGAAACTGAGGCCAGGGGTTGGCTGCTTTCACCTGGAGAGAAGAGAACAGTGGTCAGGTCCTCAGGATACAGACCCTGGGGAAAGAAGGAACAGTGGTGCCCACGTCACCTGCACCAGAACCTCCTGGGGAGCTTATGAAAAACAGCAGCTCCTCTGTAGAACTGAACTTTCTGGGTGTGGGGCTCCAAAATCTTTGTTTTTAATCAGCCGTCTAGGCAATTCTGATATGCTTGAGAATCACAGCCCAGGGAAACTGAGAAGGCTGAAGGATGAAGTTGAGGTAGCCAGCAAGTGGAGACCTAGAGACTTTTTTTTCCCAAAAAGCTTGAGTAAAAAAATTTAAAGTGTGAAAATATCAAGTGTTGGGGAGGAAATGATGCAACAGGAACACTTAGGCAGGGCTGGTGGAGGGTGAAAATTGATACAATCCTTCCAGAAAAGTTGGGGGTACCCTTTCACCCAGCCATTCCACTCCTGCGTACTTACCCTAGAGGAAGTCTCCCATGTCCACAAGGGAGAGGTATACGAGAATGTTCACAGCACAATGTGCAAACAACTCAAAAGCCTCCCCATGGGCAAACGGATAAAATAAAATTACAGGGTATTCATGAACTAGGATACTATGCAGCAGTGGAAAAGAAGGAAACACAGCTATCCACAAAGGATGACTCTTTCAATGTTGGGGGGAAAAGGCAAACCACAGAATATAAACAGCATACTTCCAGATACAGGAAGCTTAAAAACATTCCAAACTATATTTTACCTATTCATTTATTGTCTGTCTTGCTCTGCTAGAATATAAGATGATACACATGTATATGGTAACACTACAAAGAAAACCAAGGAATTGATGAGGAAAATATGGGGAAATGATTGCCTCTGGGCGGGTAGAGAGGTTGGGGTGGGGAGGGGCATCTAACCTATTGGTCATGTTCTGTGTCTTAGCCTGGGTTCTGGTTATGCAAGGTTTGTTTTATCGTTATTCTTTCTACCGTACACACATAAAACGTTTGTTAAGTTTTTAATAGCTTACTTGTTTTTAATTTGGGAGAAAGAGACCAGAGAGAGATTTGGAGGTCAAGGAAGAGGTTTTGCTTCTTAAGATGGGAGGGAATAGAGTATGTTGAATACTAATGGGAAGGAGCCGGGGCAGACAGAGGAGAGAGGCCTTCAAGGAAGGGGATGGGATCCACGATGAAATGAACATTGACCGCAGATAGGAAGAAAGCCATGATTTCACGGCACCGGCAGGAAACGATGGGTGTGGAAACAGGTAAGCCTGGGCAGCTGAGAGCAGGAAGCTGGGGGAACTAACATGTGGTGGCTTATATTTTCTCTACATGGTGGTAGTGAAGGCATCAGTGGTCCAGACCGACACAGCATGGGGGGGTGTGGTATGATAATATATGGGGTCTTTGTCCCGGGTCCAGGCACAGAGCTCCTAAAATCCTTGCAATTTCCTGATAGGAGTGTCTTTGTCATTCATAACGAGCTCCTTTCCATTACCCCTGAGTTTATGCTAATGAGGTGACTCTTGGCGGACCTCTAGATAGCTTCCAGATGGGGCTGGTGGCAAGAAAGACCAAGCCATGATGCAAGGGCTGGAACTTTCAGCCCCATCTCTGACCTCTCGAGAGAAGGGAAGGGATAGAGATTGAGTTCAATCACCAATGGCAATGATTAACCAATCATGCCTATGTAAGGAACCCTCCATAAATACCCCTACATGACAGGGTTCAGAGAACTTCCGGGTCGGTCAACACGTCGAGGCGCCAGGAGGGTGGTGTGCCTAGAGAAGCAGGGAAGCTCTGCACCCCTCCCCCACACTTTGTTCTATGCCTCTCTTCCATTTGGCTGCTCCTCACTTGCATCTTTTCTAATAAACTGGTAAATGTACGTAAACCATTTTCCTGAGTTCTGTGAGTCATTTTAGTGAATTATTAAACCTGAGGAGAGGGCTGTGGGAACCTCCAAATTTACAACCGGTCAGTCAGAAGGACTGGGACTTGTACCTGGCATCTGAAGTGGGGGCAGTCTTGTGGGACTGAGCCCTTACCATGTGGGGTCTGCACTAAATCAAGGTAGACTGTCAGAATTGAATTGAATTGAAGGACACCCAGTTGGTGTCAGAGAGTTGGTTGGTGTCAGAACCTCAGGGGGTTTTCTGTTGCTTGGGGTTCAAAGATACTCCTAGCACCCTAGTTGAGTTTCATCTTGAGATTCAAAGGCTTTTATGACCCTGCGGGGAATCTGACCACCATTTTCCCACTTATATCCAAGGAAAAACATATCTCTGGGTTACAAACTCAGACTTAAACAAACTTCTGGAACATGACCATTTATCCTATGCCCATTAAAGGACCCCTGGACTATGGACAACCTGTGTGGTCCGTCCCACCACTTACCCCTGGGCTCACCTGGATTTTGAGCCTGAATTTTCTGATGCCAGAGAAAGCTTTAAGTGTGTTCAGAGCTTGGATTTTGACACTGTTGTCCTTGTCATCCAGCATGGAGCCCACCAACACGATGTCATCAGTAGAACAAGCAGAGGCCTAGAGTGTGCCAGGAGAGATGGAAGAGGCAGGAGAAGCAGGTGTCCTGGGTCCAATCCGCCCCCCCATGTCACCAAGACCCCTCAGCACAACACGCCCCACCCCGCCATCAGCCGGAGAGAAAGATCTCAGGACACAGTCTGGCCAGTCAAGGGGGCAGGAATCAGCTGTAGCCCCCAGGGGCCAGGCTGGCTGGGAGGGACCTCCTGCTTCCCTTCCTCACCTCGGCCTCCAGCAAGTACACACAGCGCGTGATACTGTGCAGGATCATGCTCTTGGCGTACTCATCCTGTTTGCACTCCAAAGAGTTGAGAAGCCTCCGGAGCTCACCTGAGTCCCGCCCATGCCGTTCTCGTTCGATTGCCAGGCCTAGACAGCCACCCCAGCCCAGTTCAGGCTGTGGACTCAGAAGTAATGAAAGAATGGGGTTGGGAAGCAGGAGAGAGGGACCTGGGGACAAGGCTGCCTTGCCTTTTCTAAAGAGAAGCCTTCTTGCTATATGCAAGACCACCATGTATTGCACAAGGATCAGAGCGTGTACTGCACGAGGGCGCCAGATCTAATGCTATATTGTTTATATCATAAACATCATAGTTTTGTATATTTACTATAAAAATTTTCTGGTATATGCAATAACATGTAATATTTCATCGTAATCAGTATATGGCAATGATATTCCAGCAGATGGCAATAAAAAGTCTTGCAGAAGGGGTGCATTTTTCCACTTTGCACAAACTTGTCATATGGGCTAGTGGAGGCTCTGGGCATGAAGGTCCTCCAATTTTCCCTTGGGAGAACTGCTGATGCCAAGTTTCCAAGCAGTGGCATCCTGGGATCTAGAATGAGTGCAGGATTTGGAGACCTATCAGATGAGTCCTGAGGATCCACTTGAGTGCCATCCATTACCCAGGGACCCTAAGCTAGCATCTCTAGCATCTCTAGGGTGGGTCTGAGGAAGATGGAGAGGAGAAAGAGGAAGGAGAGAGGAACTTGGAGGAGTCACCTTTGGGCCCTCCCACACTGGAGGCCTCGGGAGCGGGTGCCTCCTGGGGCAGAGCCCTCTCCCCAGGGCCCGAACACTCACGGGCGATACAGATGGGCGAGTTGCTGCAGAGGGGCGGCTGGCATTTTATGCCAGCCCTGATGGCCTTGTAGAGCAGGTAGATGGCCCCGGCGCCCATGGCCAGGCCCACCACAGTTTTGCGGATGTCCAGCTGCCCCAGGCACGGGGGGACGCTCACGCCCATGTCTTCAGCGCCGCGTTGCGCCCAGGTGGGAGTGAGGCCTGAGGCACCTGGCAAGGGCCTTCCGGAACCAGAACCCTGGCAGGGCCAGGAACCAGGGTACCAGGATTGGAACCCGAGCAACAAAGGAAACTGGGGAAACTGGGGTGCAGGGTGGTGGTTGGGAAACAGGCCAGCCAGGGGAGCTGGGAAGGAGAGAAGGTTCAGCTTCGGAGGCTGTAGAAATGAAGCTCAAGACAAGGAGAATAAAAAGTCTGGGAGCAGCAAGGTCCTTCACGTCCCCTTGTCTTTAAGGGAGCCAGATTGGTGGTGCCCCAGCAGGCATCTCCAGAGCTGCCTTTCCTCCATTAGAGGGCAGCAGAGGCCCACTTTCCGGGCTGGGGCCTTTGGACGTTTCTGGGAGGGGGTTTGGGGTGTGCCCACTGTCAGCCCTGCTCCCTCACTCACCTGACCCTCCCATCTTTGATCTCTTCACCACAGACCCACTGCTGGGCTTGGGAGTGTCTCTGCAGGCAGGGTCCCCCTTCCATTGGAGGGCAGCACCTTATAAAGTTTTGCAAAGCCATCGTGAGGCAAGTCGTGAGTCATCTTCCAGTATCTGCATGTTCCCCTGAAGTATTTACCTGTCTGACCAGAAGCTCTTAAAGGCAGTTGTCTTTGCATCGCCAACGTCCAGCACAGAGTGCTGCACTTAGTAGGTGCTCAAACATGACTTCTGTCATTCTTTAAGGACTTAGGGGCAGAACAGTGACAAGAGAGTCTGGATACAGGGGCTCCAAGCGCATTTAACCACTGTGAGCCTGGAGGAGGAAGGGACTCCCCTTGCCTGGGTCTCAGTTTCTGCATTTGTAACCCGAGGGGATCCAGATTTACCATTCTAAAACTCCAGGATTAAAATTTGGGTAGGTCTGTGCTTTTACTTTAATTTTTTGTTTATTGCGGTAACGTTGGTTTATAACATTGTAAAAATTTCAGGTCTGTGCTTTTAAACCATGGGGGCCTAAATCTGAGAGTACCACCTCCCACCCCCACACCGTCCCCCCGCCCCACAGCACATGAGGCTTGAGGCCTTCTCTGGAGTCAGAAAATGCCACCCCCCAGGGGGATGAGAGCCCAACTCTGGAGGCCTTGATCTCTACCACGAGCATGGGGCAGGTGAGACCATGCCCTCCCCTCCTTTTCCCCCTTCCTCAGTGTTCCCACACCCTCTGGCCTCACCTTCTGGTACAGAACAGGGAGGTGACAAGTCCCAAGCCAGGCTCAGGCCCAGAGCCAGCACTGAGCGTGGTTGTACCAGAACAGGGCTTCACCTGCCTGGCTCTGAGCCCCTGTTAGAAGGCTCTGGGTCCTGGGCTGCACCTGGGCTTGAGGGAGGTGGAGAAATAAGGAAACAGCATCCTGGAGATGCTGCGGCCAGCCAGGCCTATCCATTCAGAGCCTTCGCCCTTCACACCCCATCTGCAGGCGACATTCCTACATGGCCAGTCTCTTCCTTTCCTCTCTTCCATCCTTGACCCTCCTCAAGGGTCATTGCTAGTACTCTACCCAGCCCCAAGGCGGGTGACTACGTGGACTCTGCAAGAAGGGGTGACAGAGGCCCCTGGAAGCCTCCCCGTTGCCACGGGACCACCTATCACGTCCCATGAACTCCGGGCAGGAAATTGCTGCCTGAGGGGACTGTTTTAGGTTCCAAGGCTATCCTGGTGGATCCGAGGATGGATCCTCCAGAACAAGGTCGCTGCCCTTCTCTGGGGTGGGACCCAAAGCTACTGCCCTTCTCTGGGGTGGGACCCAAAGCAGATGTGGTGCTCATCTGTCCTTCAAAAGGCCTCCAAAGAAGAACTCTTTCCTGGCTGTAACCTAGCTCCTTCCTGCTACACATACAGCCCCATTTCTTTTGGTTCTGCCATCAAATGATTCAGAGGGATTAGAGGCAGAAGCATCCCCAGTATGACATTTTCACTAGCCCATAGCACAAGGAAAAAAATAAAGACAGAGGAATGTCGATCTGTTGGTGTAAAGTCAATGACGGTCCTTTCTTGGGAAGGACTGCTTTTGTTTTTTGTATTTTTTTTTTAATTTTATTTATTTATTTTTTTCCCCCCAAAGCCCCAGTAGATAGTTGTATGTCATAGCTGCACATCCTTCTAGTTTTTGTATGTGGGACACGGCCTCAGCATGGCCAGAGAAGCAGTGTGTCGGTGCGCGCCGGGGATCTGAACCCGGGCCGCCAGCAGCGGAGCGCGCGCACTTAACTGCTAAGCCATGGGGCCGGCCCGAGAAGGACTGCTTTTGATTCAGATGATGTCTTTCTTATTTTGAGGAGAATTAAAATGTACTTGCTTTTATGAAATGATGGTGATAATAGATGGTAGTTGTGTTTTCAATGTTCTTAGGGAGCATAAATTAAAAGCTGCAACTCTTTGTGGGAACTTGGCTTTTATTTGTTTTTTCTGTCAAATCCAGAAATCTGGAACCATTTGCTAGAGAAGTCTGAGATTCCAAATACACACAGCCAGTCCCAAGTTTCTTACCTGCCCTCACCAACGCAAAATGACGTGGGCTGCCCCACAGCACACCTCTCTGCCATCTGTGTTCCCATCTGTGCCAGCTGATGTTCCCATAGTGTTAGGTGTAATTTACTGAACAACAGTGTGGGCTCTAGCCAGGCTGCCAGAGTTCAAAACCAGTTCAGCCACTGACTTCACTTGGGATCTCTTGGTGCCTCCTTTTCCCCATCTGTAAAATGGGAATGATAATAATACCTACCTCATAGGGTTGTGAGGATTAAGCAAAGTATTTGGAAGAGTGCCCAGCACAAGGGGGGCTCACCAAATGTTGACAATAATATTACTATTATAAGCAGGTTTCACCCGGACAAAAGTGTTGGGTGTGGAAAGGCAGTGAGCACCCTGGTGGGCCTCAGTGAGGCTGAAAGGCACATTATTCAGCCCCTTCCACTCGCCCTTTAACCCTCCCACCCTGGTCTTCTTCAGTCTAACCAGTCTCCACTCCTGTAACCCATTAAACTGCCTTGAACACCTTTGGAACCCTCTTTGAAGCCCCCACAAATACCTAAACCAGGAGCACTATCCCCCAGCCCATTCCCCTGAGCTACTTTGTTCCTAAAAACCATCTTCCCCTCCGTGAAACCCTAGGACCACCTCCTCATTCTCTTTACCAGGACTCTGGTAATGGGTGTTTCAGCCCAGTAAATTAGAGAAGTCTAATACGCTATTGGGGGCCTACTGGGCAAGACAGTGCTGGGCCTTACGAGGATGACCCTGAAGGCCCAGCGCTTGCACGCACAGGAGAAACTAAGGGGAAATCAGCCTACTCCATAGTCTAATGAAAAGCCTGTTGGAGTCCGACCGGCTTGGGTTTGGGCCAATTCCACGATCTGAGTCTCAGTTTCCTCCTCCAGAATACAGGCCTATTAATACCCACCTACTACGGGAAGTGCTGTCAGGACTGAATGAACGTACGTCGTGACTCTCGTCGCACAGGGGACGCTCACCACGTGCGAGCTTCCCCGCGGCAGAAAGCCAGAAAACCGGGAGATGAAAGCCTGCGGCGGGGCGCCCGTGCCTTGACGTGGATCCCAGTCTCCGAGGCCGTCTCCTCCCCAGCTAGCGCTTACCCCGGCCCAGGAACTAGATTCGGGGGCCTCTCGGCAGCTCGTTACCCACACGAAAGCGTGGGGACCGGGAGAAAGGCGGCGAAAGCACTGGGAGCGGAGGGGGCGGCGCCCCTAGAGGAGGAGGTTGGGGGCGGAGGCCGCGCCTGTCCCCGCCCGGGGCCTCCCCCCATCTTGCCCTCCCTCCCCGGACTACCTCCTCCCCCCGCGCGCATCCGGCGGCGGGCACAGGATGTTCTTTCGCTCCAGTCCCCCCCCCCGCCCCCGCTCTCACTTTCCCTTCGCTCCCCTCCCCCACTCCCGCCGCGCCCGGCGCCGGCACCTAGTTTAACTCCTTCCCTCCCGCGCTCCGCGGCGCCCGGGCGCCCCTGGGGTCCCCCCCTTCCCGCCCACCCCTAGGACGCGGAGCGAGGCCCGGGAACGGGCGGGCCTGGGCTGAGCCCTGGGCCGGGGTTCTTGGGATCCACTGACGTGCCGGCGGTGAAAGGGTGGAGAGGGATCCCAGGGACTGAGGCCAACATTCTCCGGACGCCCGCCAGTTCACCGGTGCAGGGTGGGCCTGGGGTGGGGTGCCCACACTCGAGCGAGCCACGCGCCCGAGGGGAGGCCAGGTGGGCGTAGTTAGCTCCAGGCCTGGCGAGAGGGGGTGGCAGTGTGGAGGACCCCCCCACCCCCACCCCCACCCCGCCATCCTCCCTGGTTCGAGTAAGGGGCCCGGGTCGCCAGAAGAGGCTTGAAAGAGGTCACGCCCCTCACGTACACGTCACTGTTTCCAAGGCAACCGGGGGCGGGGAAGCGGGCTGGAGAAGTGGAGACCTTAGAGAAAGGAGTCACCCCCGGCCTGGGGACCCGGGTGGGGTGGGGAAGCGGCGGGGGCGGGCTTTTCAATCTTTGCTTCTTCACACGCTGATGCTCCAAGAAACTGAGGGAAGGACAGAGTCTGTTCGCTGGTTCATTCAACAAACGTTTATTGAGCTTGAACTGTGCTTGGCGCCATACTTAAGCAAGGGGTTATGGAGGTGCTCCATCCCAACCCTGCCCTGCCCGGTTATTGTGAGTCAGGGTAGGGTGGCCACGCATCCCGGGTTACGTCTGTGGAACCGCTGTAATTATTAATAGTGTCCCTTTTCACGCTGAGAAGTGTCCCAATACGAGGGGGTAGTTAAGGAACCTTGTCTGCCAATTCAGGAAAGTCTCCAATCATGCAGGGAAGGAAGACAAGCTATCAACTGCTCACTATGCCACAGGCACCTTCGTGGCACTTTGCGTTCTCTGTAACCTTTGCCTCTCGTTCTGCAGGGTGAGTATCACTAGCACCTTTTACAGATGAAGAAACTGGCTCAGAGAGGTTCAGAGACTTGCCCAAGGCCAAACAGTCAAATGTTGGAATCAAGTTCCAGCCCCAGGTCTCCGTGGCCTCCAAAGTCCGAGTGCCCTATCTCATGCTTCCTTCTCAAAATAGATGATAGTAGATGAAAGATACTGTCCCTGCCATGAAGGAGCTTATAATCTATGGGGCTGAAAATACTACAGGACATAACTAAGCAATCAAATATAGAAAAGATTGAAGACAGCTCATAAGGCTCAGAGGGAAGTTAATGACAAAATGAGCGGAGTGGAGTGGAGATTTTCAGAGCCTTCCTGCAGGAGGTGGATTTTGAGCTGGGTTATGAGGTGGTGATGGGGCCAGGATCATTGGATGTGTGTGTGTGTGAGACGTGATGCCAAGAAAGAGAACAATCTAAGGGCATCAGACCAGAGACCCAGAGCTAGGCAGGCTGGAATCTCCCGTGGCAAGAAGATCCCTCCATAAACCCCTAAGGCA